GCCCCCAATGCTTGCGTAACGGCCAACGATATAGAGCAAAACTTGCTTTCTGAATTTGAATTTCTTACCGCAAGAGCCATGGCGGCACAAGTCACAGAAACGCTAGCGTAGATAACACCCAGATGCTGTAGATAGCCGTAAGCATTTTCGACAAGACCAACCATTGAGTTCCCACCGGAGCCGTCTTGGGCATCGAACTTGTCGCATACACAGTACGTGTTGATTTGGTCAACACCGTCGAGCAGTGCGGAAGCAAATACCGGCATTTGGTCCAGCCTTCTCGGTACGGGTAGGCCTGGGGCCTCACCCCATCCGGTGGAGCCACACCCGCTCGAGTTTGTGAGCCACCACCTGTGGTTTCACTGCAACGGTAGAACCCCGGGGACAATGGTGGGAACGGAGGCCGGGGAGGCCCTTGAAACTCCAAATGGGGACCGAGAGGCATAGGAAGCTAGGGAGGCTCTACCAGGGCTGCTCGATTGGGAATAGGTAAAAATAGCACCTCACGAAGATTAAATAGCATCTCGCCGCTGTCGGATATAGTAGCAGTAGGGAGCTCAATAGTTTCCCAAAACAAACATCTGTGGCGGTCTTGCGGCGCATTGGGTAATGTACCTTCTATCTCCTTCTTCATGTTGCTTCTTGCTTTCTCTAAACTGACATTATATCAGTTTAAACACCCACTGCAAGGGAAAGCCAGGATCATTATTTGTGTTCTGCATGCTAACTGGGTTAAAAATGTCTCAAATCCACCTCTATTCTACATGCAAAAAAACGAAGCTTATCATCATGGGTGTGGGGGAGGGGGGGGGGTATAAGAAGGTGGTGGATATTTAAAGGACTAAGCCTGATACAAACGCCCCGAGACCTCAGCAACTACTTAACACATCATTGTATGCTGAGCGTTTGCAGCTCCAGTACAACTTAAGAGAACTAACGGCTTTAGGGGTTGTGGAAGCGCAAATTTTGTGTGTGCGTCAGTTTCGACACGAAATATCGTGAACTGCAAGCTGGTCACAGCTAATTCTGTGGAAAAAAAAAACGCGGGAAATAATGGTATAGTTCTGATAGGCGTCACCGAGACCCACTGGAACCGTTGCCGTATAATAGAGGCAATAGTTGCACTAGCTGCGAATCAAATGGCGTGCCACACGAATTCCAGCCTCTTAATCAAAAATGCGTTTTCCAGCTTGCTGTCGACAAATATCCAATACTATAATTTATTTGGACCGTGTGGGGAAACATCAAACGAAGAGTCTTCCGAGGGTGGCGAGAGAATCGTCGACGTGAGATTAACATACTTTCACAGCTT